CTACGTTAGACTGGCGCTAGATTATGCAGCTCCAGTATATAATCCTCTCCGAAATAAGCACAGAATACCACTAGAGCATGTGCAGAGCGCTCTAGTCCCAGAAGGAAGCAGGGTGAGGTGCCGTACGAGGCGAGGTCGAAGGACCTGGAGACAATAAGAGGCAGAGGAAACATGATCATAACATACAAGATTATTCCAGGCACCTTAGAAAGTGATGTCAAAACGAATTATTCAACATATGGAGTTTGAAACTAGCAGCCGTGACGAGTCATAAGGATGTTAGAGCAGTGAGTGAGTGAGTGAGTGAGTGAGTGCATGAGTGAGTGCATGAGTGCGTGCATGAGTGCATGCATGAATATTGGTGTAAAATCATACCTTCATACCTAGAACAACAGGTATGTAAAGCAAAGGGCGCCAGGAGCCGGTCGGCCGAGCGGACAGCACGCTGGACTTGTGATCCTGTGGTCCTGTGTTCAATCCCAGGCGAGAAACAATGGGCAGAGTTTCTTTCACCCTATGTCCCCTGTTACCTAGCAGTAAAATAGGTACCTGGGTGTTAGTCAGCTGTCACGGGCTGCTTCCTGGGGGTGGAGGCCTGGTCGAGGACCGGGCCGCGGGGACACTGAAAAGCCCCGAAATCATCTCAAGATAACCTCAAGAAGCCCGGACACTAACAAACCTGGGCCTCGATTCATCAAGTATTCACGCAAGCACTTGCGAAACCTTTACATATTTCCACCGTCGTAACGGCTTTGTTTAAATAGATTAAAAGACTTTGAGGTAAACACTGGTGGCTGTTTATAACAATATTCACCTCGAGTTGTGAAGTTTCAGCGTTCGTAACCCGTTTATAAATGTAAACAAACTCGCTCTGACTGTTGAAAGATGTACAATCTTTCGTAAGTGATTGTGTAAATGGTGGAGCTTGACCCTGGGGAGTACGGGAGCCCAGGAGCTGGAGCTCGCACTACCAGCATGCGCGCGCATACACCATACTGCTCACCGTACCGTTAGGTGACGCCTCATTACACTGTCATCATGGTGAAGCTGGTTACGACGAGTCGGTATCGTCGTCCAATCCCACCCTGTATCAGGGGCCAGATTCACGAAGCTGTTACCCAAGTACTTACGAACCTGGGGGCCAGATTCACGAAGCAGTTACGCAAGTGCTTACGAACCTGGGGCCAGATTCACGACGCAGTTACGCAAGTACTTACGAACCTGGGGCCAGATTCAAGGAGCAGTTACGCAAGTACTTACGAACCTGGGGCCAGATTCACGAAGCAGTTACGCAAGTGCTTACGAACCTGGGGCCAGATTCACGACGCAGTTACGCAAGTACTTACGAACCTGGGGGCCAGATTCACGAAGCAGTTAGGCAAGTACTTACGAACTTGGGGCCAGATTCACGACGCAGTTATGCAAGTACTTACGAACCTGGGGGCCAGATTCACGACGCAGTTATGCAAGTACTTACGAACCTGGGGCCAGATTCACGACGCAGTTATGCAAGTACATACGAACCTGGGGCCAGATTCACGACGCAGTTATGCAAGTACTTACGAACCTGGGGCCAGATTCACGACGCAGTTACGCAAGTACTTACGAACCTGGGGCCAGATTCACGAAGCAGTTACGCAAGTGCTTACGAACCTGGGGCTAGATTCATGACGGACACAGTCACGCAAGTAGTTACGAACCTGGGGCCAGATTCACGAAGCAGTTACGCAAGTGCTTACGAACCTGGGGCTAGATTCATGACGGACACAGTCACGCAAGTACTTACGAACCTGGGGGCAGATTCACGACCCCAGGGATACATGTCCCTAGGGATACATGTACCCCAGGGATACATGTACGTACAGGTGTGGTATATATAAGAGCTACAGGTGTATACTGATTAAAGGAACAAAGACAGGTGGGTTTGCATGGCAAGAGCAGTGCCATAACCACGCACTACTGGATGACATCTTGAGGTGAAAGGTCACCCACTACAGGGCTCCTCTCGCATAGAAATCACTCTTCACAAACATTTGCCAAACCGTCTCCACACCTGCCAAACCGTCTCCACACCTGCCAAACCGTCTCCACACCTGCATTCCCGTGTGGTCTGTGTCTGGGGGGCTTGAAGATGAGGAGGGGGAGTTATCAGGGGGAAAGCGCCAAGCCATTACGACTATATAGCACTGGGAAGGGGTCAGGATATAAGGATTTGGGATGGGACGGGGGGAAAGGAATGGTGGCCAACTACTTATGGACGGTCAGGGGATTGAACGCCGAACTGCATGAGAGCGAGACCGTCGCTCTACCGTCCAACCCAAGTGGTTGGGCAGAAACAGTGTAGTGTAGGTCCTAGATATTACAAAATCCCTTTATTAACATGTTTACCACTTACGGGCTATTCATGCCCGTGCCACCTCTTGGGTGGCTTAATCTTCATCAATCAATCTATTAACATGTCAAATTTTGCATATAATTGGTACCAGTTGTCAGTAATTGTATTTGGAACAGTCTGCAAGATAGCAGTTGGGACCAATTGTCCCAGATAACCAGTCAATGCCAAATCTCTTAAGCAAACACTCTCACGCAACCCCTAAAGTTCTCCTAATTATCATCATCTTGAATATCTGTTGCAATGTGAGTTTTCATCTTGACCTCTGACGGCCGACCTAGTGAACTAGCGTGACCCAGTAATTGGTCACGACTGTGTGTGTGCTTGAAGAGCTGACCTTACCTTGAGGTGCTTCCGGGGCTTAGCGTCCCCGCGGCCCGGTCGTCGACCAGGCCTCCTAAAATGTAAGGCGTTACATTGCTCATGAAACAGGCTGTCGTTCGGCTTCAGTATTCCATTGGGTTTTTGTTATTGTCCTCATTCTCGCGTGTGTAAACATTTGGGTTTCATGTTTGGCGCCGTAACTGGGTGTGAATTGTCTCTTTTGTTTTGTTGACACGAATTTACCCGCCGTATGTGGTTGGTCTCGATTCGTACCCAGTTGTTGTTGTTGTTATAGATTCAGCTACTCGGAACAACTTCCAAGTAGCACGGGCTATGGTGAGCCCGTAGTGGACTTACCTGGCACAGGAGCGGGGCAAGTAGCACGGGCTATGGTGAGCCCGTAGTGGACTTACCTGGCACAGGAGCGGGGCAAGTAGCACGGGCTATGGTGAGCCCGTAGTGGACTTACCTGGCACAGGAGCGGGGCAAGTAGCACGGGCTATGGTGAGCCCGTAGTGGACTTACCTGGCACAGGAGCGGGGCAAGCAGCACGGGCTATGGTGAGCCCGTAGTGGACTTACCTGGCACAGGAGCGGGGCAAGTAGCACGGGCTATGGTGAGCCCGTAGTGGACTTACCTGGCACAGGAGCGGGGCAAGTAGCACGGGCGATGGTGAGCCCGTAGTGGACTTACCTGGCACAGGAGCGGGGCAAGTAGCACGGGCTATGGTGAGCCCGTAGTGGACTTACCTGGCACAGGAGCGGGGCTGTGGTTTTTCGTACCCTGCGGTAATGGGGGAGTATCAGTGGGTACCTGCCCGGGCACCTGCACTTGTCCAGGTGCGGTCTGGAGCACTCAGGTGTCTGGCGAGTGTCTTAATGGGTGGTGGCTGGCTGAAGGCGTGGTTGATGTGGTACATTAGGGATAGACCGAGTATGTGGTGGTTGTGGTGGTACTGTGGCTACCTCAACAGTACACGCTACTACACTCCGTGGTTAGTTTCCATTCAGTTCTCTCATTCTGCTGTGGGCAATAGTGGGCAGGTGCCACACCTGAACACTTGGCAGGCACACAGAGATCACACTAACGTGATGTATTCAAGTGAACAAATCCACAATGGCCGTGACGAGGATTCGAACTTGCGTCCGGGAGCATCCCAGACACTGCCTTAGTCGACTGAGCTACGACAGTTGTAGAGTTGAAACCGAAGTTCTACTGAACTTACTAGATCCCGTAGCCTCTCTTGAGGCACAAACCAAGATTTTTACACAAGGTGCAGAGATGAGTTGTGTAAAATCCTGGTGTGTGCCTCGGAGAGGCTACGGGATCCAGTAAGTTCAGTAGAACTTCGGTTTCAACTCTTTAACCCTGTCGTAGCTCAGTCGATTAAGGCAGTGTCTGGGATACTCCCGGACGCAGGTTCGAATCCTCGTCACGGCCATTGTGGATGTGTTCACTTGGTAGGCAGGTGTGGTTGTTGCGTCCCTCGCAGCTGTGGCTGGCGGTGGAACACACAGGACCCCAGTGTTCCTTCGGTGCTCTTAGTAAAGCCCAGGTGTTGAGGCTCTTTGGCCAGAGCCGGTCGGCCGAGCGGACAGCACACTGGGCTTGTGATCCTGTGGTCCCGGGTTCAATCCCGGGCGCCGGCGAGAAACAATGGGCAGAGTTTCTTTCACCCTATGCCCCTGTTACCTAGCAGTAAAATAGGTACCTGGGTGTTAGTCAGCTGTCACGGGCTGCTTCCTGGGGGTGGAGGCCTGGTCGAGGACCGGGCCGCGGGGACACTAAAGCCCCGAAATCATCTCAGTACTCGAGGTAGAGTACTGGGCGACTCGTATTCGCCAGAGTGAACTGGGCGACACATGCGGCTTCAAACTCAGACCTGACAAGGAGCCCAATAGCCCCTGGAACCCCTACACCAGTTGGTTGAATGCCAGAACTGGAGAGCCGTGACTGGAGTACAATTAGACGAGAACACACCCCTTCTCAAGACCTTAACCCCCCCCCATTCCCCCTCCACGCCCTTGCATATCATTAACGGTGCAAGTTGGGGTGTTGGGGGGAGGTGTTGGGGTGGTAGTGGGTGTCTGGGGGGAGGGGGATATAAGGGCGTTAACAGAACACGCCCCTTTTCCCAACGCCACCTGTTACTGCAAGGTGCTAAGGTGTGGCGTGGGCGTGCGCGCTCCCCTGCTTCAGAGAGAGAGAGAGAGAGAGAGAGAGAGAGAGAGAGAGAGAGAGAGATATTGTGTGCGTGTGCGAATGTGCGTGAGAGTTGATATAGGTAGAGTATAGTGAGAAGGGTGGATGCGAGTGTGAGAGTAATCTTGGTGGGATGAGAGCTGGTGGATGCCGAGGGCTTAACAAATCTACTTTACAAACTGGGAAAGGCGTCGATTATCTTCCGTCTAACGACCCCGGGCCCGTAACGACCCGTATGCTGCTGTAATGCTTCGTAACGTCTCTTTTTGGCTCATTAGAATTTGCAAGACCATCGCTGAATTCCCAAATAGGGTATCTCATTAGCATTTGGTCAATGTGTCATCTGTTGCAATGTGTCATCTGTTGCAATGTGTCATCTGTTACAATGTGTCATCTGTTGCAATGTGTCATCTGTTGCAATGTGTCATCTGTTGCAATGTGTCATGTGTTGCAATGATGTCGTCTAACTGTGTTCTTCACAAGCGACGTAAAGCTTAGTTCTCCCTCTTGTGTTAGCATAATCATCTCTGTTTTCACATTTCCTACTCAATTTCCATCTTGATATTGACCACTGGTTGGTTGGTTGGTTGTTGTTTTTAGATTCAGCTACTCGGAACAAAAGTTCCAAGTAGCACGGGGTATGGCGAGCCCATATTGTGTCTAACCTTCGCTTGAAACAATCCAGCGAGCCTGTGTGTCTTCTGTGGCGCCGTTCATTTGTTCCATATATCAATAACCTGTTCGCCAAGCAAGTATTCTCAGGTCTCTCCTCAGACCTCTCTAATTTATATCCACTGTTCCGTGTTGATTAGTTTTTGAACTACTCTTGAAGATGGTAATTGGCTGTTAACTTGTGAACACAGTTATGAATAAAATAATAGATGCAAGAGGGACAGCAATTAATTTTCAACTAATTGTCCTTGTAATTGTCTAGCTAATTGAATTAGTTATATTGTGTTGCTTCGCATATGTTGGATTTTATTTGTGTAGTAAGAAGGAAGAGTCATTAGTGATCAGTCTAAACATTAACCTGGTGAACTTTAACCTCCAAGTTGACTGGTGACCTTATGCTCGGCGCCTCCTGTCGTCCGCTCATACCATTCATGGTTGCTGGCCGACCTGACCTTCAGCGACCACCCTGCCTTCACTACACACCCCTTCTCCTCACCTGCTGGGCTCCTCCCTCCTGTTGGGTACACGGCTTGTAGGAATACTGTTCACTGGGTGTAGAGAGAAGGTAGTGTCCTCCAACCTACCTCGAAGTCCTCTTCCGTTCCTCCTTCACGTGCCTCGAAGTCCTCTTCCGTTCCTCCTTCACGTGCCTCGAAGTCCTCTTCCGTCCCTCCTGCACGTGCCTCGAAGTCCTCTTCCGTTCCTCCTTCACGTGCCTCGAAGTCCTCTTCCGTTCCTCGAAGTCCTCTTCCGTTCCTCCTTCACGTGCCTCGAAGTCCTCTTCCGTTCCTCCTTTACGTGCCTCGAAGTCGTCTTTCGTCCCTCCTGCACGTGCCTCGAAGTCCTCTTCCGTTCCTCCTTCACGTGCCTCGAAGTCCTCTTCCGTTCCTCGAAGTCCTCTTACATGCACCCTCTATGTACCTCGAAGTCCTCTTACATGCACCCTCTATGTACCTCGAAGTCCTCTCCATCCCCCATCCGGTCCAGACCTCGAGCTGCACCTTCCCAGACATCGAACTCCCTCTTCCGTCGACCTCGAAGTCCTTCCCTATGGAAGGACCCAGACCTAGTCCTTCCCAGCAGGACTGGGTGGTTTGGTTATGGAAATTATTATTTACTCTAAACCAGAAACAGTTGTTGCATTGTGCTCGAGCTCCTGGTCTCCAGCAGCTGCAACCTTCACATGACCTCTGAAGCTTGTTCGCTCTCATAACGATTCTCAGGGTCATTTGTTGTTTGTCTGTAAATTGTTATGCATGGGTTATTGCAATTGTCGCAGCGAGGTGATGCAGTCACACAGTGGTGACTGTAACCCGTATAGGGACTAGTTTAGAGACTGGGTCATTCCTGCTTGATGGGGTTCTGGGAGTTCTTCTACTCTGCAAGCCCGGCCCGAGGCCAGGCTTGACTTGTATGTTTTATGCTATCGAGACTTGATCACATCATTTACACACTCCCACATGTAACGTAAAATAGTTGAAGCATCGACTTGCAACTGCAGTAGGTGTTATCAACTGAGGGACGGTTATCTGGAGTAGTGAGGCGCAGATATCCAGCAGATATCCAACAGATGCCGCCAATGTTGCTGACGTCATCACTGGATGTGCTGGAGCCCACGGGGGATGGGGGGGGGGTAGTAGGGTTGCCAAGCACTGCCATATAGTCAATAGTCCAGTAGGTAGACGTTAGAGACTATCTTAAATAGCCTTGGTGCCTTCTTTCGATAATTACTTTTAAGAAATTGGCTGTTCAAATGGCTCCGTATTTGAGGCTACTTTGAATTGATGACCAATTACTGGCACAATGTGCAGCTGTGGACATTGAGGTCAGCTTGGAAAAATTCCTGACATTACGACTTAGTTCTTCCAGCCATTTGTGATGTGAAGGAAATTGTTAAATGTTTAGGGAAGTACTTTCGTAGCTTGGTATTAATAATGGAATGTGTGTGTGGTGTGTGTATGGGTGTGTGTGTGTGTGTATGGGTGTGTGTGTGTGGTGTGGTGTGGGGGTGTGGGGGTGTGGTGTGTGTGTGGGGGGGGGCTATGCACACTTAGCCATTCATGTTGGCAAGGGAGAGATCTAACTCGAGCTCCCCATTCATCCCCATTACAGGCGTCTCCCCCCTCCTCCTATTATCTTATCAGTGGGCAGGGGCACCTGTTCAAGACCTTCAAAATACCTTCCTATCAGCTCTCAAACGTGTGGCTGAAGATGGCATCCTCTTCCTTACTGCTCCTGTCACTTGTTTACTAATAGTTGACATAAATGTTTAACTTGCCATCGAGAGGGGGGGCAAAGCGACCCCCTCCGCCCCCCCCCACCCAACCAAACCCCAGGTAATTTACCTACGTCGAGGGGTTGGTGGGGGGGGGGGAGTGAGTGGGGAGGGAGGGGGTTCTGTAGTCGCCATGTGAGGTAGGCGGCCTAAATCCTCACTGGTTTTCCTTGAGTTCTTGAAGACACTCCAGGCTTGCTGAAGGAGGGGGAGGGGGGGGGTGGCTGGTGGGTTATGGAGCTGTGAGGGTGTGTGTGGGGTGGGGGGGGGGGGGAATGTCTCACTTCCCTACACAGCTGGGGGAGTGTGTACTCGCCTAATTGTGCTTGCGGGGGTTGAGGTTTGGGTCTTTGGTCCCGCCTCTCAACTGTCAATCAACTGGTGTACAGGTTCCTGAGCCTACTGGGCTCTATCATATCTACATTTGAATGTGTGGATTGGTTAGGAAGGATGGATAGGGTGGGTGTGTAGGGGGGGGGGAGACTAATAGCAAACGTGTGGACTAGATTTTAAGCTTGTAATGCAAGCCTGTTTGGAGAGGGGGGGGGGAGGGTGAAAGAGGGGAGGAGAAATTCTGCTCTCTAAGTATAACAGAGAAAAAATAGAGCATTTGTATTCTCGGACACTTTCTTCCTCTCCATTAATTGTTTCTTCCATTACCTGATACCTGCTTGATGGGCTTCTGGGAGTTCTTCTTCTACTCAAGTCCGGCCCGAGGCCAGGCTCGACTTGTGAGAGTTTGGTCCACCAGGCTGTTGCTTGGAGCGGCCCGCAGGCCCACATACCCACCACAGCCCGGCTGATCCGGAACTTCTCTTAGAAAACAGTCCAGTTTTTTCTTGAAGTTGTCCACGGTTGTTCCGGCAATATTTCTTATAGTCGCTGGGAGGACGTTGAACAACCGCGGACCTCTGATGTTTATACAGTGTTCTCTGATTGTGCCTATGGCACCACTGCTCTTCACTGGTTCTATTCAACATTTTCTTCCATATCGTTCACTCCAGTACGTTGTTATTTTACTGTGTAGATTTGGGACCTGGCCCTCCATTCTCTTTCTCTACATTCTCTCTCGGTTCCATCTTTCCTGTGTCAACATGAGTTATTTCTGGCCGGTTGTGTCTGGTGCTTTGGTGCACCCGCGTGGTCCAGCCGCACGCTCCACAGCTTCCGTGGTGTGTGTGGGGGTGTGTGTGTGAGGGGGGAGGGGGAGTGGTTCCGTCCGGTGCTTCCTTGTTGATATAGTGGAGGGGGGGGGGAGGTCTCTCTTCTTCACCCCCCCCTCTCCCCCGACACTTTCTTCACATGTATGTGCTTGACCACTTTCTCTGTCTGGCTTTCTCAATGCCCTGTCCTCTACTCTTCCCCCCCCCCCCCCCACACATAGCGTGCGCTCTCTCTTATCTTCTCTTTTCTCTCTCTTCTATCTTTCTTCTCCTCTCTTCTCTTCCCTCCTCTGCCCCACCATTGTCTGATGAGCCTGGAAGCACACACGGTATAGCTTCCCACAGCAGATATAAACGCGGGGATATAAACGCGGGGATATAAACGCGGGGATATAAACGCGGGGATATAAACGCGGGGATATAAACGCGGAGATATAAACGCGGAGATATAAACGCGGAGATATAAACGCGGGGATATAAACGCGGGGATATAAACGCGGGGATATAAACGCGGTCATTTCAAACGGCAGGAAATGGCCCCTTGGAAGCACACAACGAGCAAGAAGGCCACAAGTGTGTGTGTGTGTGCGCGTGTACCTTTATTTACCAACGTCTCCGTCAGCGTCTTGAAGCCAACGCGGCCCAAGTTTACGCATTCGTGATAATTTCCATCTCAAAACTTTCCAGCCTGTGTTCTAGAGCACCACACCAACGCGGCAAGTGGTATTCGAACCCCCTGGTTCCGTTTTTTTTGCGTAAGATTCGCAAACAAATGCTTGATCGGCTTCCGTTTTTTGTTCCGCCTTCCCAAGTCTCGGTCTGGTAGACTTGTGGAATTTGTTGTTGTGATAGGAGATTGTTGGCGGGGGGGAGCTTGTTGTGTTGTGTCTGTGTGTGTTTATCACTCATAGTTGTGCTTGTAGGATTAAGTAACTGCTCCTAGACCCCACATTGTCTGTTGTCGATCACGTAATGTAATTACTTCAGTCTTCCCCCCTCCCCCAATCTCTCTCATTTTCTGTTATACCTGCTTGTAATATTGTGAATACTGTAATATTGTGAATACTGTAATATTGTGAATACACATTGAACTCGCGCTACTTATTGAGTACTCTCACTACAGGCAGGTTTCTTTTACTCAGGTGACTGGTAGGTTCCCACCCCCACCTGCTTGCTTCCATTCGTGTTCCTGGTTCTTCGGCTGGTGTTCCTGGTTCTTTGACTCGTGTTCCTGGTTCTTCGACTCGTGTTCCTGGTTCTTCCATGTCTACTGCCAAACATTTCGTGTGTGCGCTCTCTCAATTACTCTATACAGTGTTAAATATGGTTGAGTTTTATTCGGTATATTGGCAAAAATTATGCATAATCTTATCTATGATTATTGGAGGGGGTTCAGTACTCGGGGACTGCATACTCCAGTACTGGTCTCACGTACATGGTGTATAAGGAAGGTTCTAAAGGCTATCGTGTCTCGAGACCCGATTGTTAATGGGTGTGTGTTTTGTTTGATATCATTGTTCTTTTGTCTTGTTTGTTCCTCGCGCCAAAGATCGTGAGGTTGTTCTCGTGTTGACCAAGTTGTACTCGCCTAGTTGGGCATGCGGGGGTTGAGCTTGGGCTCTTTGGTCCCGCCTCTCGACTGTCTACATGCACCCTTCCCGCTGGGTAGACAACACCACCCCCTTACAGGCACAGACTCGGTGTCCTCCAGAACACAGTAAGGTTCTCCGCCCACCACCAGCCTCCCACTCTCTCTCTCCCTCTCCTCCCCCCCCCTCCCCTTCCCCCCCCTCTTCCTCTCCTCCCCCCCCCCCCTCTTCCTCTCCTCCTCCCCCCCTCTTCCTCCCCACGTCTTACACTCTTCCTCCCCTCTTTGTACCATTTCACCCATTCTTTTAGGGTAATATCGCCTCCGTTTCCCTGGCTCGTCCTGTACTCTCACTACTCTCTCACGTGTGTGTACCTTTACCTAGATGTGCTTGCAGGGTCGGGCCTCAGCTCTTGAGCCCCGCATTGCCGGCTGTCACTACTTGAAGAGCCATGAGTATTTCCCTCGTTTTTCTTGTATTTACTTTGAAAAGTTATACAGATAATTTTGCTTCGACAACTTCATCTTGCCTGTTCTATTATGTCCAACTTTTACGGTGTAGTAACGTAAGATGAATGGAACTTAAGAGTAAGTTTGTTGTATGACATCCGTGAGTGACTTGCTTCCATTCACGTCCTGGCTTGTTGCTCTTCCTCACTTTGAACTTTGCTGCTTTGTCTACTTGTGAATCACCCCATAGGAACTTGTATGTCGCTGTCATGTCCTCCATGTTTGTTCTGTCCTATGTGTGTGGCAAGGTCCTCGGCCCTTCGGTCTTCGTAGCGGCCTGTGTCCAGCTGTGGCTTGTCTTAAGCAACCTGTCCTCTTAATACAGTGACTCCATCTCCCTGCTTCTTGACATCTCGAGTTGTGCAACTTTTATGCTTGTGTTAGCTCCAACTCTCTCGTTCTCGCCCTCTACCCTCACTGTCCTTAACATGACACCTTTGGTCTGTCGTGCCTGGGACTTCTCCGCGTCTCAGGTTAATATCCATTGACCATTGTTCGACCTTTTCTTCCCCCTTGTTCGACCTCTTTCCCCCCCCCCCCTTGTTCGACCTCTTTTCCCCCCTTGTTCGACCTCTTTTCCCCCCTTGTTCGACCTCTTTCCCCCCCCCCCCCCCTTGTTCGACCTCTTTCCCCCCCCCCTTGTTCGACCTCTCTCCCCCCCCTTGTTCGACCTCTTTCCCCCCCTTGTTCGACCTCTTTCCCCCCCCTTGTTCGACCTCTTTCCCCCCCCTTGTTCGACCTCTTTCCCCCCCCCCCCCTTGTTCGACCTCTTTCCCCCCCCCCTTGTTCGACCTCTTTTCCCCCCTTGTTCGACCTCTTTTCCCCCCCTTGTTCGACCTCTTTTCCCCCCTTGTTCGACCTCTTTTCCCCCCTTGTTCGACCTCTTTTCCCCCTTGTTCGACCTCTTCTTCCCCCCTTGTTCGACCTCTTCTTCCCCCTTCTTCGACCTCCTTTTCGACCTCTTCTTCACCTACTCTTACCCTTGTTCGACTCGAGATCACCTGAGCATGACGGTGTGGTTGGCACCCCTGACTCCTGGCCTCCATGTAGAGTGTAGAGGAGGAGGTGGTAGTAAGGTTAGCCCTGGCGTGGGTGGTGTCGCTGGTGAAGCAGCATCCTCACCACTGCTCCAAGCTGGGGGTGGCTGCGTCCCCAAGGGCCCCGGAGACTGTAGCTGCAGCAGTTGCCGTGGAGCAAGATAGGAAGGGTGGCGGGGAGGCGACCTCTGAAGGCCGCGTGGGGACCAAGGCCACCAACAAGTCAAGTCAGGCGGGAAGAGCAGGAGACTGGACCTCGTAGTCCTTCACGGTAAAGTTGCAGGAATCTTTCTGGCGCTGCGTGGTCGCCGTTCCATTCCCGTGAGTCTTGAGTATCTGTAGCTCAACCTCTCGTCCCGACCGGAGCCGGTCGGCCGAGCGGACAGCACGCTGGACTTCTGGTCCTGTGGTCCTGGGTTCGATCCCAGGCGCCGGCGAGAAACAATGGGCAGAGTTTCTTTCACCCTATGCCCCTGTTACCTAGCAGTAAAATAGGTACCTGGGTGTAAGTCAGCTTTCACGGGCAGCTTCCTGGGGGTGGAGGCCTGGTCGAGGACCGGGCCGCGGGGACACTAAAAAAAAAAAAAGCCCCGAAATCATCTCAAGATAACCTCAAGATAACCTCAAGATAACGTTGAGCGCAGGGCAAAAGACCCGTCATACAGTAATGTTTGATTCTCACGGGTACCTTGCGATGGTTTCGGGGCTCGATGTCCCCGCGGTCCGGTCCTCGGTTAGGCCGCGGGGTTGCTGGACTGGTCAAGCAGGATGTTGGACGCGGCTGCTCGAAGCCTGATGTATGAATCACAGCCTGGTTGATCAGGTTTTGATCAACCAACTCACACACACAAACTTATCTTTAGTTACAAAGTTGTGTGAAGGTTTGTTCCATAGACTGAGGTGTTACAGGCGTGCCTTAGCTCTGGGGTACTGGCATTGTCTTCTCCCAGGTCACTCACTCTACTCACTCTCCTCACTCTACTCACTCTACTCACTCACTCACTCACTCACTCACTCACTCACTCACTCTACTCACTCACTCACTCACTCACAGAGGTGATGCACAATCCACCTGATCACACAAAGGTGTACTATCTACAGAAAAAACACCTTTTGAAATTGATGGTAATACACACACAAAATACAGGTACTGCAAACTGCTTATTGAAATACTTAATAATGCATGGTCATGTTCTCTCAACACTACATATTCCTGGAATTAGGAGTTAGAATATGTGTTTTCGGATAAGGTATATGGAAAAGCACTAAACTGTCTTACAGCCCCGCTCCTGTGCCAGGTAAGTCCACTACGGGGTCGCCATAGCCCGTGCTACTTGCCCCGCTCCTGCTCAGGAGCGGGGCAAGTAGCACGGGCTATGGTGAGCCCGTAGTGGACTTACCTGGCACAGGAGCGGGGCTCGGAGGTGGTAGTCAGTAGTGGCCCGGGGGTGATAGTGGGGGGTGAGGAAGTGGGGTGGATAGTGGGGGAAGACGATGGCTTGACACCCATCTATCTAACAAGCTTGTTTGGCAGAGGGGTGGGGGGGGGGGGTGGCGTCTGAGAGCAACAGGACCAACCCTCATGTGGTCATACACATGTAAATTTGGGTTTGTGTGGGTCATGTGAACGGTCTTGTGGGGGAGGATGTGGGGGGGGGGGATGTTGTCGCCACCACCACCCCTCTCTACCACCCCCCTCTCCACCACCCCCCTCAACACCACCCCCCTCACCACCACCCCCCTCACCACCACCCCCCTCACCAACACCACCACCACCACCCTCTCCACCACACATTTACTATGGCGGGGCCCAATTTCAGGTGATTGGACGAGATAATGCGAGATACAAGGCAGGTGTTCCTTACAAGGAGGCAAGAGTAAAGCCCCAGTTAAAATAAAAATAACAATTTAGTAATATATAAACACAGGTTGGTAGTATTAGTGCCTACTGGCACTCTGCGTCACTAGGCCTGGCACACTACCAAGGTACGGCCCAAACGGTTGGGTTACAGCAGCCTCGGGTATTGAACGCAGTGAGTTGAGAACGAAGCCGAGATGTGTTAATGTTCACTACAGACAAGAGATGTGTTCACTACAGACAAGAGATGTGTTCACTACAGACAAGAGATGTGTTCACTACAGACAAGAGATGTGTTCACTACAGACAAGAGATGTGTTCACTACAGACAAGAGATGTGAGCTTGCAAACATTGACATGATCCCAGGCACCGATAAAATAGCCCCAATATCAACACTCAAAAACTTGATTTAAAACCTGATTGTTTAAAGTTGAGTTAATTTTAGCTGAAGAAATTATCTTTGGGTTCATAAGTATCCTTTTTTAGTTTGATAAATATGTGTCGCTCAGCAGTTCATTAGAGTGAACTGGGGCCTCGTAGCCTGGTGGATAGCGCGCAGGACTCGTAATTCTGTGGCGCGGGTTCGATTCCCGCACGAGGCAGAAACAAATGGGCAAAGTTTCTTTCACCCTGAATGCCCCTGTTACCTAGCAGTAAATAGGTACCTGGGAGTTAGTCAGCTGTCACGGGCTGCTTCCTGGGGGTGGAGGCCTGGTCGAGGACCGGGCCGCGGGGACACTAAAGCCCCGAAATCATCTCAAGATAACCTCAAGATAGAACTGATACTTCCCTAAACAGTCCTCCACACTTGCCTGGAAATAAACATTCCAATAAGGAAATAAATTTCCATATTAAGACTTCTCAATAGCTCGGTCAATAGAGCATGGACCTGACACGTCTGGGGTCCAGAGTTCGAGTCTCCTAGGACCCACGTGAATGGAATACCACCCCTCTAATCTTGAACGTCATTCACCATTGAGATATCACTGTGAGGGCTCTCATTGTCTTAAAAGCTGTTGAACCGTCTTCAGTTAAGACTTTGTGCTCGTCTTAAGTTTAGACTTGATGATGACATGCATAATGTTAGTGATCACTAGTCTTATTGCAGCTCCAAGCACACAACAGTTGCTTGTATTAGCGAGTGGCCCGCGGGCCACACTAGAAAGTTGACGGGCCGCACGTGCCCTAGGGGGCCCACACGTGCCCTAGGGGGGCCCACACGTGCCCTAGGGGGCCCTACACGTGCCCTAGGGGGCCCACACGTGCCCTAG